GGGGGGGGGGAGGTGAAGGGGAAAAATATATATGATTGCCTAGACAATTTAGCAATTCAACAATTCTCCTACCAATCTATTAACTTTTGTTAAAACCCTTTTAGCAAAAGTTTATTAGGGCCATCTATACACTTAGTCCAGTCAGACTTACAAGCCCAGCTCAATTTTCAGAAATATTCAAGAAATACTGCCTCAAAGTACTAGATATCCTTAAAGACCAACTTCATGCCCTGCCTGGCGTGACTCAGTCAGTTGGAGCATGGTCCCCTACACCCAAAGGTGGCGGAGCACATATCCAGGTTGTGGGTTCGATCCTTGGTAGGGGTGTGTACAGGAGGCAACGGATCGATGTTTCTCTCTCTAAAATCAATTTTTTTTAAAAGAAAGTCCAATTAACAAAGGATATATTCTTTTTTTTAAAAAAAAGATCAACTTCACATCTCTTATTTTTTAGTTCTTATAATAAATTTCTAGATATGCTTGGGGGTAAGGAGGAGAGTATCTATAAATGGAACAAAAAATTCCATGCAGATGTATGTACTTACATTTATTGTTGTTTTTGAATCCTCACCCAAGGATATTTTTTCCATTGATTTTTTTTTTTTTTTTTTTTTTTTTTTTTTTGAGAGAGTGGAAGGGAGGGGAGGGGGGAACAAGAGAGAGAAACACGGATATGAGACAGATTGACTGATGCCTCTCAAATGACCTGCACAGGTACATGCCCTTGACCTTAACTGGGAATCAAACCCTGGATCCTCTGTTGGCCGGCAGACACTCTAACCACTGAACCACGCCAGCAAGGGCTGTACTTGCAGTCTTTGACCCAGGGTCCACATCTTCTATTGGATTCTCAATGGATTCATGACCTCAAAAGAGGTTGAAAACTGCTACTTTGTATTTCACAGGGTACAGTTTTCAAATCTAAAAGGAGTAATTATATCCCAGTTTATTATTAATTGCTAAGTAAAATAAGGCTTTCCATCCACAGACATGAAGGCACAGAAGCTTTATGACTGTGTTCCTGGAATAAAAGCACGAGTTTGAACTTAATTGCCCTATGAAAGATACTGCTTGTCAGTATACAACCCACTCAGCAGTTTTAGAAAGGTTAACATCTCCTTACCAAAAAGCCAAGATTCACCTGCAACAACTTGGACTACCTAGTTGATATAAACTTTCTTTTTTCAACAGTTTTTTACACTGTCTAAATTCTTCTGCAATAATTAAAAGTTGTATACAGTGTGTCATCTATTTTACTACCTTAGTTACCAAGACACAAAATGTCCATTGTAATCATCTGCTTACCAAAGCCAGGGCTTTCAGTACTTTAAACTAAAACTCATTTTAAGAGGTAAAAGGAAACAGTATTGGCCATTTAAAAAAAAAAAAACCAAAAAAAAACCAAAGTAGTCCTTTTCCTAGTTAGTCTATGTTAAGTTTATGGGAGACATTTGCCATCAGCTATCTAAAATAATGGCAAGACTTAAGGCATAATGTTCCCAAACCAAAATGACATAACTTTTAAAGGTAAGCAATAAAGCCTATGCTTCCCATAAAACAAAATGAGTAAAATTTGAAGTTCATATTTAAGATTCTAAAATTAAATTCAGAAAAAAATAACAATAAAATAAAATCACACTCACAGTCTAAAAACCAAAGTTAAAGAAAAATCACGAAATGTCTATTTAAATTTCAAGGCCAAACATATTCAAGGTTGTTCACTTCCAGCCTCCTGAATATTTTATGCTTAAGGTATCCACTTTCCCATAGAAACTTGATCAGAAAAATCCCTTTGAAATGTTTTACAAATTAAATTCCAGTGTTCCTGCTATGCGGAATGAATATTTCATTGGATTATTTTAGGAAAAGACTAGCCTCATTCATAAGCTAAGTCTAAACCTAAAAGGGGAAATATGTTTCTTTCCAGAACCTTTAAAAAAAAAAAAGCAAAAAAGTGGATGAAAGAACACTGCTGCCACGTCTTTTCCCCTCCCCCACTCACGTAGGGGCTATTTCATCCCTGCAGCGTGATTCCAAGGGAAAGTCAGAGCCACAGCTCTGGGAGAAACCAGAAACAGTTAAGTTGAAATTGGCAAGCCTGTTCCGCCTTTTAAATCAATTCCTAAAAGGAGGTATTGGCTTCTTACTCATCTCTTTCTAAATCAAACAGGGCAAAAATTCCAAGTTCTCTCCACTCTACCCCGGCACGCAGAAGATGTTTACTGCCTAAAAACTGAATTGTTTTTATTGATATTTTTGCTTTTATTTTTTATTTTTCTATCACCATGTATCCCCTCTATGCTCTCTTCCACCTCCACCCACTCACCCCTCTCTCCACCCCTTAAAAACTGAACTGTATTTAATACATTCAATCATTTCGGAAAACAGTCACCTGTTTAGGGTACCGTTCGTCCTCCCCCTTAAGACAGACCCGGGGGCCACTCGTGTGCTCCAACCCGAAGTTCTCACACAACCGTGGAACACTGGTGGGCTTTAAAAGCAGCCACCTCTGCTGAAAGGGAGGGAAGAGGGAGAAGCGCATGTGCCTTTAAAAAAAAATCTGTGTAAGAAAAGGGAAGGAAAAGGAGCTTCCCCGACGACCGGGTGATCTGACAGCCACTTCCCCAACCAAAAAGTGCGAACTCGCCGCCCGGGGCCACGTCTCGCTGCTCCAGCAGCACCGCCGTGCGCAACACGGGACTTAAGCCTGAACTTCTCTTTCCTCGCCCGAAGATTTTTCGATAGGGTAAAAAATGCCTGGACAGCTTCAGCTCTAGAGCTTTAAAATCCGCTCTCCGCTGCCACATGCTAACCATCTGCTGCCATGGAGGCCAAAAACCCACGCCCCGCACGCGCGTTCCCATCAGATTTGCCGGGAGGGCCAGGTATGAGAGGAGCTGAGGAAAATCAACAGGGTGATTCCTCCCCGGGAAGAAACATTCAAGAAAGTTCTGGTCCCCGGGGCGGGGACAGCGGCTGCCGCAGCCCGACCGGCCGGGGGCGCCCACCGGGGAGGAGGTGAGAAGGGGCGCCCAGACAGGGGCGGAGGGGCCTCCGGGCCAGCCGGGCGGGGGCGCGGGGCGCAGGGCGAGGGGCCGCGTCCCCAGAGAAGATACTGAGGCTGCGGTGGAGAAGCTGGAGAGCCTCCGCCGCCCGAACCATCCCACCAGAGGGGGCAGGGACGACCACCGGGGCCGTCCCAGAAGGGCCCCAGCTGCCTCAGCGCCTCGGCCTCGGTCTCCAAAGTCGGGGGAGCGTCTCACCTGGGAAGCGGGACGGCAGCGCGTTCCTCGGTGCCCGGTTGCCTGCGCGCGGGCCGGCTCCCTGCTCCCTTCCCTCAGCCCGCTGGCGGCGCGACTGGGCAGCAGAGGGAGCCAGTAAGCCTTTTTATAACCTCCACGCCGCCCCGGCAACGCGGGAGAGGAGGCGACTGCAGACCTCTACGTGAGCTCTAGCACACCAGCGCCCC